CCGTCGATGATGTCTGGCACCGCCGCCAAATGAGCCATCTTGCTCAACCGGTCGACGAATACTACGACACCCGTGTTGCCCGCCGACTCTTTCGGCAGGCCAAACACAAAGTCCAAACACATGGACTTTCAGCACCCAGTGGGTACTGGTAAGCTGGCCAGCGGCACAGCCGCATATGGATTGGGTTTCACCCGTTGACATGTCTCACACGTGCGCACATAGGTACTCGTCCACTTGTACGGCCTAGACATCAATAGTGGTGTCTTACGGAGTTGTACGTTTTCTCACGACCGAAATGACCACTGAGTGGCGTGCCGGGAGCCACTTAGAAGATGCGATATTTCAAATCCTCATCACGAGGAACCACAAATCGTGGTGGATCTGTTGAATCGGTGCTATAATATAGCAAGCCTTATTCAACGAATATTGATGCAATCGTGCACGCAGTGGTGGTGACAATTTCTTGTCCGAGTCTCCAAACTCCTTGATTCCGATAGCCTGTAGCAGCGCTTCAGGTCTGCATGACAACGCATCAGCCAAAGCATTCTGCTTTCCCGGCTTATACTTCACCTCGAATTTATATTTCGCAAAGAAGGATAGCCATCTAGTCATCCTCTGCGAGAGGTGGGAGGACTGAGTCGCTTTGCGTAGCGACGCATGATCTGTATAGATCACAAACGGCTGGGAGCGGAGCAGATGGACCCGTAACTTGACAATCGCATACTTCATCGCAAGTAGCCCCTTGTCATAAGCTAGGTAGTACTTCTCTGCAACTTTGAGCTGTCGAAATTCGAACGTGATCACACGATCTCGCCCCTCGGCGTCTGTTTGCAGCAGTGCACAGCCGATAGCAAAGTCCGAAGCGTCACAGACGACGCTGAAGAACGATCAGGGTCTGACAGCGCCAGTATTGGTGCATGCAGGAGGCTGTCTATGACCCTGTCAAAAGCCTCCTGATGTTAGGTGTTCCAACACCATTCCGCATCCTCTTAAGGAGATTGGATAATGGTCGGGTTATTTCTGCGTAGTTTGCGCTGTACTTGTGCAAGTATTTGGCGAGACCAAGCCACTTACGCAAGTCCTTCTGATTCTTGAAACCGGCAAGTCTACAATGGTCTTGACCATAGCGGGATCCGCTCGAAGGCCACGCTTCCCAACGAAGCACCTTAAAAAGGAAATCTCTTTTGCGCCAAGATACACTCGTCTGCATTGGCGTACAGTTTGTTCGTGCGCATACACTCGAGCACCGCTCTTAAATGAACAATGTGGATCACCTCATCCGTCCTCCTGTGCTCCGCACGACTGTGAACGAAATCGTCGTCAAATTATGTCTGTGCATACGCCTTTTGGGGCCTGAACAACTGCGTCAGAAGACGATTAAATGTTGATGGTGCATTTGACAGCCCTTGCATCAGCAGACACTCCCACAGCATGCCGCTTGGAGTGCTCACCGCTGTCAGCGGAATACCACTCGCTCTCATGAGCAATTGGTAATACC